AAGAGAAAAGAGGAAGGACTAAGGGTAGGGGGTCGTAGGTGTTGCAGTGGAATTTGCAGAGGAGATGTTGCAAGGACTTCTGGGAAGGAACTGCAAAAGTTGTGAAACTGCAAGGGCGCAGGGGGTACAGTGGGACTTTGTACATGTTTCTAGTAATTTTGCAGCCATTATATAGAAGCAGAACAGCAGTTAGCAGTTTCACCACATACTCCATTTCCTGTCTAGCCATCTTTCTTTCTGTACTGCAGTCCATCACAAATTGAGCTAACTGGATGTTCTTAAAATCATTCTTTTTCCTCACTGCACTAACTCCTTTTTGCCCCAAATCATTCTTCTGAAAGGACTCTGTGGAAAGCATATTTATGTTCTATCGAATGGATATTTGTCTAAACTCTATGACAGAAATCAATAGCCTAAGACTGCTAATAATACATGGAGCCTTAGTTTCGGACTGTGCGCCATGGAGTCTTGGAATTGGATCAGGGGCTGGTAGAGTGGACCCCAATGGGGTGACCCTGCTTTCTCACTTTAGTCAGTGCATCCCCACTTTTATATCTGGGTGCTGCTCAGAAGTTCTATAGACAGAATATTTCCACTCTTTAAAAATGATTCTACTGTATTTTAAAAAGTGTTTGCAAGAGCTGCTATAGTGATTCTATCACCTGGTTAATTTTCTGCTGATTTTTACATATTTAGACACCTCATTCTTTTGGTTAAATGAGTATTTTAGAGATCTCAGTTGCTGCTTAGAATATGGCCCCTTGCCTGTTTTCATTTTTAAAGGCATTTTGTCGAATAGTCAATCACTGAACTTAGCCTCTGTTCCTGTGTTTCTAATTTTAGTATAGAATTACCTCTGTGTTTAATTTTAGCACGTGAAGTACACACACTCACACTGACTCCCATGGCCCTGACTGGCAAGTGTAGGAGGCTTCCAGGTCCTGAAAAGGTACCTCACAATGTTCTGGGGGAAGAATTGGAAGCGTCACTCCCTAATACTGAAGTTTACAAAACTTCAGTGAGAGCTGAGCTCTCTGCAGGACTGTCTGCAGAAAAGAAGCCTTCCAAAGACTGTCAGCGTGGAAATGTGCTGCTGCTAGTAGACCAAGGACACCCTCCGTCTCCAAGAGGACGCCCTGGGCAGCCTCACGGTTCCAAAGGCATCAGCACACACACTAAGCAGATAGTGTAATCTAGGAAGTGTCCATCCTGTGGACATTTTGGATGACTGATGTGAAGCGTTAGAAAACGGTGGTTTTGCGTGTCCTCTCATATGCCCAGGCGAGAGGCATCCGACGAGGTGAGTGGGTCTTGCTCTCTGAGAAAAACCTAGAGTAAAGCAAGGCCCTATGTGTAGTCAGACGAAGGCGGCTCGTAAGCACCTGGGCTGATTAGCCCAATCCTGGGCTCTGCCAGTGGTCTTCCAAATGGGACTGCTGTGCGTGAACGCTCCAGGCGACCTGGGCTCTCCGCCTTGTAAATCTGTCTGATACACGTTTCAAATATCTAGCCGCGTCTGTGGCCCCAGTCCGTCTTAGACATGAAGAGACCGTGTCAGATCTTGACTCCACAATGTGGAAGACACGTGACGACTCCACTTGAGGGGCCAGTGGGCCTCTTGCCCTTCCTCCCCTACGGGTGCCACCACTGTACCATGTACCCACCACTCAGCTCTCCCACGTTGGTCGCTTCTGTCGTGTTGGGTCTGTAATACTGCTGGAAATGCCTATTGACGAATGTGAATTAAAGTATTTGGTATGTTAAAAATGCTTTTTTTTTAAAATAAAATTTAAAGCACAATATTTGTAAGTGTGATCTTATGTTGGTTTCTGACACAGATAAAATAAGTAACTTTGAATTCATTTCCCAAAAAATGGTCCTTGATCCAGAGCAGGACAGGCATACTGTAATGTCAGTTCAGAATCACATACTTTTGCATGGAAGGAAACTTTTTCACTTATAGTGCATGGCCTGCATGGCCTGAGGGCAGAGTATACACCTGTATTAGGAAAAATGTACATTTCCATGCTTTAGACTGGCTCCTGGCAGAGCAGGAAGTAGAATAAAATAAGTTCGGTGAATTCACTTTATTCTCGGTCAGTAGAGTATGGAAGAGTAGAGACTTTTATTTGAAATATCTAGATTGGAAACCCCAGCCCCTGCTGCTGTCTGGCATTGGCAAATTATTTGTTCTGCCTGAACCTCCCATTTTCTTTCTCTAAAAACCACAACTGTGCATCTGGAATTGCAAGCTCAAAAATTTTTTTAAGAATTATTTAACTTTATTCATTTGTTTTAATTTGACCAGAGAGGGGCAGAGGGAGACCTGCCAGTTCCGGGACTCAAACTGCGGTCGGCTGTGTGGGAGTCCAGCACCCTTGACCACCACACCACCTGCGGGCCCAACCACCTCAAATATTTACAGGAGCTAGCAGGTGACACAGGTGGGAATGATGGGGACCGTGGTAAACTAGAGCATCCCAGGTCACAGGAGAGCAAGCCAGTGTGAACAGAACTGCTATTTCTAGAAAAGATATAGAAATTCTATTTTTTAATTATTTTTATTTAACTTTATTTATTATTATTATTTTCCAGTTTGATCAAAGAGAGACAGGGAAAGTGAGAAAGCAAGCCACCAGGTCTGGGACTTGAACCATGGTCAGCCATAGACAGAGAGACAGAAAGCAAGAGGTCACCCCCCAGGGGGGATGGCCACGCCGGAATCCCTTTTCCTCCATTCTCCTCTCGGGATCTTGGGCACGCACGCACACACGCCCAGCGTGAGTTTAAGCTACCTGGTCTGGGACTCAAACTGTGGTTGACTACATGGGAGTCCAGTGACATAGCCATTGTGCTAACTGCTGGTCCCCCCATATTTTCTTAATGTGGAATCTAATTTTTAAATACTGTTTGGTAGCTAATTGATTATCTGTCGTCTACCACAGAGTTACATGATCATTATGGTTTGTGGGGAGGGAAATAAATATATCTTTTTTTTTAGGTTTATTTGTTTATTCCATGAGAGATAGGACCACCATCAGGGTTTTGACACTGCAAAAATTCATGCCAGCCTCAGCCAACCCTTAGTCACAGGCACACACATGCCTAGCAAATCCAGGGAGGTCTTCAGGTGTGAACCCAGAACCTTCCCATGTGGGTTAGCTGCCCAGAGTATAGCCTTTGACAGCTGCACCACCATCCAGCCCCAAGTGATTGCATTTTGGGTATGTGTTCTAAGTACATGGCCAAGGTATGCGTTTCCTTCCGTCAGAATTTTCATAATGCTTTATAGTTTATCAACTGGATAAGGTTTCACATATCATTTTTGTGGTATATATTTCTTTCACGTGTTTCATTAGGTGTTAGAGGAAGGAGATTCTGTGGTTCTGCCATCTGCACTCACATCCATTTTTGCAAATTTTTTTGAAATAACAAAATTCTCTACTTGCCTACTTTGAAAAACAAAACAACCACTTGGCCAACAGGTGCGTGGTGATTAAGGCATTGGACTCCCACATGGTTAGAGTCCCGGACCTGGTGGCTTGCTTTCTCACTTCCTCTCTCACTCTGTCTCTGATCAGATTAAAAAGTAATAATAAATGGAATTGACTAAGTCGTTCAAAAAAAGAAAAAGGATGGGGACCAGCAGTTAGCGTAATGGCTATGTCGCTGGATTCCCATGTAGTCGACCGCGGTTTGTGTCCCGGACCCAGTGGCTTAAAACTCACGCCGGGCGCGTGTGCGTGCGTGCCCAAGATCCTGAGAGGAGAATGGAGGAGAAGGGATTGTGGCATGACCATCCCCCCTGGGGCGTGATTTCTCGCTTTCTGTCTCTATGTCTCTGTCTGTCTGGCGAGCGCACGCGCCCTATAGTGAAAAACCTCTCAAAAAAAAAAAAAAGAGAACACCACCACCACAGGTATGCACCTTTTCTTAACTATTTTAAACACGAGTTTTATACAACTGAGAGAGGCACTGAAGCTCACCAGGAAGGCCCTCCTGGAACTAAATAACCCCTGATGACTCCATGTTTGGTCTCTAACAAATTCAACACATTTATTGGACACTTGGGTATTGCGTAGATGATTTTGCTTTTATCAAATTATAACCCATAATTCCATGAAGTATAAATTAATTTCATTTTACAGATTGATAAACCTAGTGGTTGATCACAGGCCATCTCCCCACCACCATTTCTTCCTCAACAAAATTACCACCAACAACAGTATTTTTAAAATTCAAATATTAGCAGATGTATCATTGTGCTGGTTCTAGAAATGCTAGGGCTCATTATGCAGTCCTTAAAGGGACTCCCCATATAAGGAACCAGATTGCAGGGGACCAGCAGACGGTGTAATGGTTACGTCACTGGACTCCCACACGGCCAACTGCGGTTTGAGTCCCAGACCTGGAAGCTTGAAACGCTGGGTGCATGTCCATGCATGCCCAAGACCACAAGAGGAGAATGGAAGAACAGGGATTGTGGCATGGCCATCTCCCCTGCAGGGTGATTCCTCACTTTCTCTCTGTCTCTGTCTCTTAGGTGAGTACATGCACCCTATAGTAAAAATCTCTTAAAAGATTTTTTTTTTAAATGTTGCATGCAAACACACTCATAGAAAGAATTTGAACTAGAAATTACTCATTAACTAGAAATAATGTGTAGA